TTTTCTCTACCCTCTAACTGTTAAGGTCAGGCTCAAACTGAGAAAGGAAATTATTCCAGCAAACTTAGAACAAAGGAATGGGAGGGAAGTAAAGTACCAGCAACTGGTACTTTAATTGAGGCAGAGCTCCTCAGTTAGAGGACAAATTCCTGGAGTCCTGGGGGCAGATACAAGTGTAAGTTAAGGGGTGAGGGTTACCTGTGATGAAAGCAAGCTCCCAGAAGCTAACCTCTTCCTCTGGGAGGCCACCTCATCTCCCAGGCACGCTCTGATCACACAGCTCTATGCTCTGCTCCCTCATTCATTCCTCCACCCAGCATGTTCCAGGCATGAGGGCCCCACAGTGAGCCAGACAGACAAAGCCCCTGTCCCTGCCCCACAGAGCTTGTGATCCGAAGGGGCACCAGTAAAGGAGGGCAGGGATGAAAGACAGAGAAAGAAAACACAGCATTGTCAGATAAGCGGTGACAATAGACAAATGATGTCCCAGAATACATCTGTCAGATGGGAAGGTGAACAGGGCTGGCCAGGGTGGAGATGGGGACAAATTTCACCAGTGTTGAGGGGAGGGGCTGAGTGAATCTCAGGACCAGAAAGAGATAAGGGAATGAGCCACAGGTGAGCGCCTGGAGAAAGAACCTTCCCTGAGGATATGCGTGCGAAGAGCAGGGAGGCCAAGGCAGCTGTGAGCAGAGGGGTGGGGGCAGAAGCAGAGAGGGGCATGCCTGCTACTTTGCTGTGATTTGTTTATTATCTATGCACCTGATTGAAACGGAGGCGCCCTGAGAGCAGGGCCTGCACCACACACACACACAACTCCACCCAGAGCCTTTCTGGCCAGAACCAGGTGCGGCGGATGGGAGGGAGCATGGATAGGGAAGAACCGTGTGAATCAGGAAACTTTTCCAAAGGAAAAATGAGCCGCTAAGCAAGGCTGTTGGCAGGTGCAGGTAACATGCCAGAATTCACTGTAAGCTTAAAGCCTTCGCCAAAGGCTTTTAATTTCAACACAGGCAGGACATTTTCCAAGAAAACACTCTGTTTTAATCTTATAATGGAAGTCAATAACAAAACAGGATTCGCATTGCTGTATGCACATGAGAAAAAAAAATTCATTTTCCAGACTACTTTGCTAGAAAAATCACTCCCTAAACTTTAAAAATGTCTATATTTAACTCATTTTAGCTACATAGGTGGCATACATACATTGTCTGTTTACACAGCTTTCATAGACAACCATAACATACTTTCCAGTTCACTGGAGAAGACTCTGGGGAAACAAGCTCCTTCTTAATTCTGTATTCTAGCAATAATAGCCTCCACTTGGACACATCAAAGGAATTAATGGTCAGCTCATCTGAGTGGTAATTACAAAAACTAGCTTTACACCAGGCCCCAATAAGCCTTTTCTATAAAGGGCCAGATAGTAAATATTTTAGGCTTTGCAAGCATCACACAGTACTGAATCCATAGCCTTCTTTACTTTTGGGGGCTTTCTTTCCCGCGAGTTTTGCTTGTTTGCTTGTTTGTTTACCATGCTAGGAAAAAAATGTAAAAACAACCTAACTTCTGAGCCAAACAGGCCACGGTTTGCCAACCCCGGCTTTCGACCACAACGAGAAGGGGGCACGTGGAGTTCCAAGCTCCTCCTTATTAAATCCAAAGGGGCAGGAGCCCCACGGTTCTGGATTACCTCTTTCAGTCTCTCCAGCTCATTCTGGAGGGCCTGTTTGGATATTTCCACTTCTATCATCTGCTGTCGGAGAGTTTCGTTTTCATCCTCAGCTTTCGCGCGCTTTTCCTCCACCGTCTTCAGTTCGTGGTGCAATCTGACAGATACATCTTTGGCTACCTGCATCGACCCACAGAGATCGTTATCAGGATATGAGGCTTTGTGTGTGCTAAGGGTACTATCAGACAATGTCAGAGGCAAAATCATTAATATGATATTGCACCACATAGCAAAGACCCTAGCAGCACAAAACCGACCTATTTTTAAAAGGAGGAGGAGATTCGTTTAAAAATGAAATCAACATCTGGACTAAAAGGCCCTCCGGCTGGTCTGACAGTGGTGCATTATCAGAACGTGCTAACACCACTGTCACCAAAGTTGGTATACAACCCCCCCAACTGCTAAAGTTAAATGGCTTTAAAATAAATAGTTTTTAAAGCCCACTTTGGATAACCCTCCTCCCCCATAGATGGTCACCACGAATGCCAATTCTGCCCAGGCTCACGGGCTTTAAGCGAGAAATTTAAATAATAGTAAACAAATAAACATTTCTACTCACTAAAGTAATACCGAACCCACCTGCTAACAAAACAAATAAGTTGCCTGTAATCCCAGCACTTTGGGAGGCAAAGAAAGGAGGATCACTTGAGCTCAGGAGTTTGAGCCCAGCCTGGGAACCACAGTGAGACCCTGTCTCTAAAAAAATTATAAAAATAAAAAATAATCCAGGCATGGTGGTGCCTATAGTCCCAGCTACTCGGGAGGTGAAGATGGGAGGGTCGCTTGAGCCCAGGGAGTTTGAGGTAACAGTGAGCTATGATGGTGCCTCTGCACTCCAGCCTGAGTGACAGAGCAAGATCCTGTGTCTAAAATAATAAAAAAAAAATGCTGCATGCTTAAGATGTTCAATGTAGTCAAGTTTTAAATTTTGTACTGTGGCTCTGGTATGGTAAACCATTTGAATGAGCAAAGCAGTTAAACATGTTTACTTTCTAAAAGCAAATGAGGAAAGAGGCCTTGTAAGAGAAATATAAATCACCCTTTATTACACTGAATGACATTTTGTTAGTGGTTTATAACTTTGGTAGAATTACAGAGGTTCTTTTCCTGTTATCACACTGAAAGGCTAGATGAGATTTCACAAGTACTCTGGTAATAAAGAGAACAGTATGCATAATTCATCTCTAGATAAATGATTGGATAATCAGGTCATGAGGGCCTCACTGCCCACGGAGAGACAATGGCATAAAGTCTGGGATTTCTTCCCATTATTCCCACTTCTCCCAGTGGTTCTCAAAGACACCTTAGACAATTTGTGATGATTTCTCCTGGCGTTAGATCCTCACTACACAAGTCTCGCTTGGGTTATGGGAATGTCAGGATTTCTGCATCCTAGAAACCTAAATAACAATAAAAAATGTGAAGTGATATGGTCAACTTTTACGAGTGGCCTTTGACTACACTGATAATAGATTTTTTTTTAAATAGATTTTTTTTTTTAATTTCATATCTTTCAGAGTTTCTGCAGAATTTCTATCCAATTGTCAGACCCATTGGCATGTATTAATTCTTTGTTATCGCAGATTATTATCATTTTTTTAAAGTTAACATCATGACAAATTTAAACCTTGGGCTGTCAAAGTCACACAACTACACACACTCTATAAGCCATAAAGCAAACCAAGACTGTTTCTGCTGCAATCTGTAGAGACAGACACAAGCAGGGAAAAAACACCAGGGCAATGTGCACGTGGCCAGCCAGTCCTGCCGCCTCGGGGGTGCACGCACCACCCCTCTCACTCACCTTCAAGTCCTGCTCCAGGCTTCGAATAAGCTCGCCATCCACCTGACCTGTCTCAGCCACTTTCAGGCTTTTCTGCTCAGCTTTCCGAAGACGGTACTGCAGGATTCGGCAGTTTTTATTAGCACGGTCCAGTTCTCGCCGAAGTTCCTGCAGCTGGTAAACATCTTCCTCTAAATAACTGTCTCTCATCTCTTCCATCTCAGCACGGAGTTCATCTAACTCATCCTATGCAAACCAGACAGAGAAGATTTATGAGCCAAGTACATCAAAAAAGGATAGTGTGTCTCTCCTTCATCCCCGCTCCTCAATACTAAATATCGAAAACCTGCACGCTTACCCATCAGCTCATGGCCACGCCTGTGTGACAGGCAGCAGAACCTCTGGAAATTTGCACGAGATAATATAACTGAGTATCTGTTCAAATCTTATGTAACCAGAAGCTAATAAACTGGCTTATTCACTGTGGCCTCTCAGAACTTACCCCACTCCCAACATCTCCGTACATAATCAAATAAAATCAACTCTGCAGATAATCGAACCTTTCGATTCAAACCAAACATTGACCTAAGCCTTTATCTCTAAGGCATAATCTAGGTACTAAGATGAATCATAGGGACCCTGCCTTCAAAGAACATACACTTCAGTAGGATAACAACTGCTAATTGCCCTGGAACTGTGACATACCTGCAAATGTCCCAAAAATTCTGTTCCACAAGACGCATCTCAGCATCGACTAAGCGACTCTATCCACAAATGAGACATTTTCCATTATTTTAAATACACACTGGGTATGTTTTTTCCCATTCACCCATCCTGTATTTCCCACACCTCCACTCTTTGCTGTCCACAGGAATGTACCGTGAATATAGGAGAACCCAAGGAGTCATTCCTGGCTCTCCCTTCCCTCCCATTTTGCAGCCAAGCCCTCAGCCAGAGCTGTGCCCCTTCTGGACGGATCACCCTGGTCCAGGCCTCCATCCCTGGGGGAGGGGAGCCACACACAGATGTAAGTGGAGACACACAGGTACCCACTGCCCAGCTGGCCCTTTAATCCTCCTATAGTCTGTCCCCCACCCAGCAGAGTGATCCTTTTAATGTGCAAATCAGACCACCTCACTCCCTTCTCAAACCCTCCAGGGGCTTCCTTCTTTCCAGGCCTCCTAGGGCCTCCTGGCCACACTCCCTCCCTGCCCACGACTAGCCTTGCAGGGTCTGAGATGCTCGCACCTTTGCTTCTTCAGGCCTCAAGACCTTACCTGCTATTCCCACTTCTGAAAACACTCCCCACTCCAGATCTCTGCAGAGTTCACTCCATCATATAACCTGAGGTCATGCAAAGCCTCCCCTGACCACCCTCATCAGCCCCCAAGTCTCTAGTCTCTTGCTGGCTCTATTTCCTTCCCACCTCTGAGTGCCATCTAATAGTATTGGTATTTTTTCCTACTTACTGTCTGTCACCTACACTAACAAGGTAAGCTTCAGAGGGGAGCAAGCTTGTCTGTCTTGCTTCTCTCTGCATCCAGAGCAGCATGGAGCACACGGTAGGCCCTCAATAAATATTGCTGAATGAACACAGGTGCGCCAGTGAACACTTACACACACCAAGTCAGAAAGCCAACTAACATCAGACACAACTGCATGCTCGCTTTGTTCCAGTCTTGCAGCCCAGTGACGAAAGCATCTTCCCAAACCTATAGATGTAGCTGCAGGTATGAGATACTCACGCTACTGAAGTGTTACACAAGATTTAAAGGAGGAACACTTTGGAAGGAGGAAGATTAAGAAAACACTCTAGGGGTTTTCTTGACTGGTTTCATAATTGATGTTTTAGATGCCTCCAGAATAGCACACACTCAGTTATTCCCATTTACTTTATTCAATTAATATTAAGGTTCAAGAAAAAAAGTATCGCCTACACTTAGACACCCTAATTGTCCATTCTTGTCCTGCTATTTAGTTTGTTCCTGGATTCTTACCACTCATGCTAATCCTGTATTTATTCTTAAAACCAGGAATTGACTAACAATATAAAACAACGTGCCCAACCTCTGAGCCTCAGACAAAAAAAAAAGAACAAAAAGAAATCTCCTGAAGATGTGTTTATCCTAGGTAAGATTAAGGACAAGAAACACAACAAATAAAATTGGGAATCCTTATGGAAAAATAAGAGTCGGCACAAAATGGGGTGACGAAGATGCTTCAGTCAACCTTAGCTATACACAATGGTCGACTGGATAGGGCACAGATACGGCAACTCATCCCCCAGTCCAGCCTGTAGGTTCTCTCCACTCTGCCTACACTATCCCATCAAGAGAATGAGCTACTCACTTGACCAGGACTCAACTGGAGCCTGTTTCAATAGGCTGCCAAGGAGAACAGATGTTAAAGAAGAAAGCTTCACCAACTTCCCAGTAGTCAAATGCATAAAACGTTCTTCTTCTTGGCTCCTAAATGTTCCTACAGAATTTCTATACCAATGATGAAAATATTAAAAATATAAGATGTCCTAATGTGTCTTAAGAAAGATCAATCTTAACACTGAAAATGTTGTGAACTCTAACTGAGTTTCATTTCTTTTTTCCTCCATGGAAATCTCTCCTGGTAAATCCTGGTCCTTGTGGTAAGATCTGCTGGAACTGGAAGTTATTGAACTGAGCATAGGAGCTGATCAGCTGAACACACATAAACAGAATGGGTGGTCTGGGCTCTTCAGGGGACCAGAGAACACAGCTCTTTCAGGACAGTGCTTGCCAACCTTCCAGAAATCTTCCACAAAGAGGAGGCTGTTACTGACGCCTGATCATTGAGGCTTTGATGACGCCCTACGGGAGCTGTACCCCTGCACTACCCACTCCTAGAGGAGGTCAACTGCAGACTGAACGCTTTAAAATGAGCCTTGTGGTTGTCACTCTTTCAATAGAGTGGGAAGTTAGTTCTGAATCTTCAAAAATCAACATCAAGTTTGATTCATACCCCATCCATGAAACTAATGGATCAGACTTTAAGAACCTAATAGCAATGCTGGTTTCTGAGTAAAGAGGTAATTGTTTCACTGAATCATTAATACAAATCGGTTCAATACAAGCAATAATCACTAAATGTTCAACACTAAGTCAATATATGTATATGTATATCCCTACATGCAAATATACAGTGACTGTGGCCATTCTGTTCATGAGAAGAATGGTTTGTGGTTGCTTTTCCTTCCAGAAAGCCTTCCAGAGTCATTAATGCCTGGGATTATCTTAACTCAGACAAAAGTTTTAAAAATGCAATATAGCCCTAAGATGCAAGATACAGCTTCCAGGTATAAAACCTCTCTAGCTTTCAGACTTTGCAATAGGAGAACCCACATCCACCCTAATGTTAAATGCTACATTTTCATACATATGTTACAGGTGATGAAAACTGTTCAAGGGCTAGATGCAACCACGCCTCCACATCATTGAGCAGGCCAGATGTAAATTGCAATATTTTTTGGCACAAATATCACCAACATTAGTTGTACTGAAAAGAAAATTAGGGGCCGGGTGCGGTGGCTCACACCTGTAATCCCAGCACTTTGGGAAGCCGAGGCGGGCGGATCACGAGGTCAGGAGATGGAGGCCATACTGGCTAACACGGTGAAACCCCATCTCTACTAAAAATACAAAAAATTAGCCAGGCGTGGTGGCGGGCACCTATAGTCCCAGCTACTCGGGAGGCTAAGGCAGGAGAACGGCGTGAACCTAGGAGATAGAGCTTGCAGTGAGCAGAGATGGCACCACTGCACTCCAGCCTGGGTGACAGAGTGAGACTTTGTCTCAAAAAAAAATAAAGAAAATAAAAAAGAAAATTAGGGAGAGACCATATGATATGGTTCCCCATACCATATGGATCCCCACTCAAATCTCATCTTGAGCTACAGCTCCCATAATCCTCATGTGTCATCGGAGGGGCCCAGTGGGAGGGTAACTGAACCATGGGGGCGGGTTATTCCTGTGCTGTTCTCGTGATAGTGAGTAAGTCTCAAAAGAGATCTGCTGGTTTTATAAAGGGCAATTCCCCTGCACGGTTCTTACGGGCCTCCATGTAATATGTGTCTGTGCTCCTCCTTTGCCTTCCACCATGATTGTGAGGCCTCCCCAGCCATGTGGAACTGTGAGTCCATTAAACCCTTTTATCTTTATAATAATTACCCAGTCTAGTGTTTCACAGAAGTATAAAAATGGACTAATGCACCATAACTGCATGTATTTAAATAACTGCTCTTATAATTCATATTTTATCTAAATTTACAGAACAGGCGTCATTTATTAAGCACCTCACCCTCATTACCAACCCTACAACAACCCTGTCAGGAACATATTACACAGTTTCTAGACAAAAAACAAAACTGAGGCTAGTTACATGTGTCCAAAGCTTCACATCTAGTAAACGGAAGCCACACTGCAAACCCGGGCCTGTTTTCAAACACACACTCTTTCAAGTAAATACTATAAATTATTTGCTTCAACCTGGACGAATGAAACAATAACAGACCTTCAATTGTACTTTTAAAAGCCGATCATCAGTGTAAACCAATAAAAGCAGCCTAACATTTACAGCTCGACAAGTGACAACACATAAGCATATCCATTAGAGCAACTGGCTCTTAGGAAGACACTGCAATGTGCGGCAAAGATATCCACGCCTCTTCCCTCCTTTTTTTAAAGAGACAGGGTCTCACTCTGTGACCCAACCTGGAGCACAGTGGTGCAACCATGGCTCACTGCCAGCCACCTTGAGCTCCTGGGCTCAAGTGATCTTCCTGCCTCAGCCTCCTGAGCAGCTGGGATTACAAGCACATGCCACCATGCCTGGCTAATACTCCCATCTTTAAAATGAGGAAACTGAGATTCTATAAGTATAAATGGCTTTCTACCACTGGTCTGTTGCAGAGATAGGACCAGGGCCAGTATTTCAACTCTTCCCAGAGAGCCTAGAAAAACGTAATTTTCAGGTTCAATGAAAAGCAGTTAAACAGAAGCAAATTATAAACCATGTAAGCTGGCAGCAGCCATCTGAAAAGCAAAAACTATGATTATTGGAATTAGGGTCATGATGGATAGTGATTTTCAAACTAACATTACATTAATTTTCTTACAGCATGCTCCAATGTAGAAAACTGTATTGCAGAACCTTAATGACATCTGCCTACTAAAAGTTTACATACACCAAATCTAGCAGAGCATATGATGTTTCTGACAGGTGTAACTTAAAAGATAGTAAATAAAATTGGAAAATTGCTATTGTCTTTTTATACACGGAAATAAGAAAAAAAAAAACTGTCCTTAATAGTTTTTTACCGAATTAACACCAAGTCTAGAGGATACTTAAGTGTTAGATCATTATCTCATTGAAAAGCTAGTTTTAATTAAGTATCTTTTTAAAGTTTTGTATATAAAACGAAATCTTGAAGTACTGTGAAGTCCGGTCAACTATTCCCCTTTGCCTGTGGCTGACAAATCAAGCCTTATCATGTATCTCAAATTAGAGGAATAATGAGGTACCACGTGTGCACTAGAGTAAACCAAGATTAAAATTACATGTTTCGATGAAAACCTCTAACAGGATAGTTATTCATGAATATATAATAAAAACCGAATCCATGTTTCTTAGTATAAGTGATGAAAACTCTTAATCATGTTAATAACTATATGAAAATCTGAATCTCTTTTAAATACCCAAAATCAGTAACTATCTCTATTTTAGCACCTCCTCTTTAAATAGACCCAGTTTGGATGGTAGAAGCAGTCATCTGGCTACCGCTGCAATAATTCTATCTTCTGGGCAGACAGAAACTACTGTCTTTTGTAACATACGAATAGTCCACCTCACTTCCCTCCGGACAAGGGAAATGTTCTCCTCCAAGAGTTCCAGCTGTAACTAAGGAGGTGCAGGGCCACTCCCACTGTCTACCAGGTGACGGTCCAGCCAGCAGCTGGTGGCCACAGCTCTCGCCTACATTAGCTGCCACTGAAAATGATCACAGCCGCTCTCTTTCACTGGCTGAATACACAGCGGGTATGGACAGCGAATATCGGGAAAGAATGGGGAATACTGTCCATGTTAACCCTTCCGAAAGAGAAAGGAGTAGGAGGCGGGAAGCAAGGAGGCGCTGAGACACATCAGCAGCAGAGCACCGCCTGCGCTCCTCTCCAAGTGCCCCTCCACCCCCAGGCCACACTGAGCACAGGCACCTGGGCAGCCCGGCAGCCAAATGTCACTAACCAGGTCAGGGCCTGAAAATCAAAAGGCTAAC